ACATACGGTTGGACATCACGGATTGTCCGACCCATTTGGAAGGTCTAACGAGCCCCGAAGCGAGCATACCCCTCATTTCGATGATTTTCGTGTGCTGTAGCACACCATTTTTTTGGTGATCCAGATTTTGACGTCAAAAATGCCAAATTTTTTTGCGGACGTCCGTCAAGACATTGTCGGTGCATACGATTGGCCATCACGGATTGTCCGACCCATTTGGAAGGTCTAACGAGCCCCGAAGCGAGCATACCCCTCATTTCGACGATTTTCGTGTGCAGTAGCACACCATTTTTTGGGTGATTCGGATTCCAACGTCAAAAATGCCAAATTTTTTTGTGGACGTCCGTCAAGACCTTGTCTATGCATACGGTTGGCCATCACGGTATGTACGACCCATTTGGAAGGTCAAACGAGCCCCGAAGCGAGCATACCCCTAATTTCGACGATTTTCGTGTGCTATAGAACAACATTTTTTGGGTGATCCGAATTCCGACGTCAAAAATGCCAAATTTTTTGTGGACGTCCATCAAGACCTTGTCTATGCATACGGTTGGCCATCATGGCTTGTCTGACCCATTTGTAAGGTGAAACGAGCCCCAAAGCGAGCATACCCTTCATTTCGACGATTTTCGTGTGCCATAGCACACCATTTTTTGGGTGATCCGGATTCCGACGTTAAAATTGGCAAAATTTTTCATGGACGTCTGTCAAGACCTTGTCTATGCATACGGTTGGCCATCACGGCTTTTCCGACCCATATGAAAGGTCAAACGAGCCTTGAAGCGAGCATACCCCTTATTTCGACGATTTTCGTGTGCTATAGCACACCATTTTTTGGGTGATCTGGATTCCGACGTCAAAAATGCCAAATATTTTTGTGGACGTCCGTCAAGACCTTGTTTATGCATACGGTAGGCCATCACGGCTTTTTCGACCCATTTGGAAGGTCAAACGAGCCCCGAAGCGAGCATACCCTTGATTTCGACGATTCTCATGTGCTATTAGCACACCATTTTTTGGGTGATCCGGATTCTCACGTCAAAAATGCCAAATTTCTTCGTGGACGTCCGTCAAGACCTTGTCTATGCATACGGTTGGCCATTACGGCTTGTCCGACCCATTTGGAAGGTCAAACGAGCCCCGAAGCGAGCATACCCCTCATTTCGATGATTTTCATGTGCTATAGCACACCATTTTTTGGGTGATCCGAATTCCGACGTCAAAAATGCCAAATTTTTTCGTGGACGTCCGTCAAGACCTTGTCTATGCATACGGTTGGCCATCACGGCATGTACGACCTATTTGGAAGGTCAAACAAGCCCCGAAGCGAGCATACCCCTCATTTCGATGATTTTTGTGTGCTATAGCACACCATTTTTTGGGTTATCCGGATTCCGACATAAAAAATGCCAAATTTTTTTGTGGACGTCCGTCAAGACCTTTTCTATGCATACGGTTGGCCATCACGGCTTGTCCGATCCATTTGTAAGGTCAAATGAGCCCCGAAGCGAGCATACCCTTCATTTGGACGATTTTCGTGTGCCATAGCACACCATTTTTTGGGTGATCTGGATTCCGACGTCAAAAATGCCAAATTTTTTCGTGGATGTCC